CACTAATGCAACTGAGCTACTAACACTCTCAACAGACAACATAACGATATCTCTCTCTCTCTCTCTCTCTCTCTCTCTCTCTCTCTCTCATTACATTATTTGCACTACGCGTACGGTAAAATAACAGGACTACTGTAGGTTGAGCAGAATAATACTGCGGTCACAATCCAGTTAACCAGGACCATGCCCTTGAGAGGGAGAAGAGACAACATCTTGTCAACCAGAGCGAGTGAGTAGGTTTTACGTCGCATTTAGCAATATTCCGGCAATATCACAGAAATTGCCAATTATTGTGTCGCATATGGTTATCGATGTGCATTTGTAAAGCAGGAAACGCATGGCATATTGATGGCTGTCTGTTTATGAATGGTCCCTCATGTTGTTTTTCCAAAAGATTCGGATACAGGTGTTATTATCCTATCACATGAAAAAAAAGGTTCAAAATTAATCAAATATAACTATAGATCTATTAGTGTATTGAGTAATTTGTCTAAAGAGTTCACAATTATATTAAATACTAGGTTATTTTCTTTCAGATATGTATGACAAAATATCATAATATCAATCTGGTTTTAGACGAGGACACTCGACAATTGACGATCTATTTATTTTAAATGCTATTATTCAACGATATTTAGGTATGTCTGGTGGTCGTTATGTGTAGCCTTTATAGGCATTTCAAAGGCGTTCTAATTTGTGGAAAGTTTTTGAAAAGCGCGGTGTCTGCTCTAAGATGTCAAAAATGTTCAAGTCAGTTTGATGGTAATGTTACGTCATGTGTCGGAAGTAATAACCTGTTGTCAAACCAATTTCAATGTAATTGAGGTGCTAGACAAGGTTGCGATTTAAGCCTCTTCTTATTTCAATTATTCATAAATGAAATTGTGCACACAATGAAACAGGAACAGTTATCTGGAACACAGTTTCATCCTGAGATTATACAAGTTTTATTATTGCTCTTTGCAGATGATTTGATTTTAATTTCAGACACTGTTAGCATGATTAGGGGATTACAGAAGGAATTATCTATCTTAAATAAATAAGGAGGACTGTGGGACTGTAGGACTAGAATATGTTAGTTTTAATATTGATAAAACTAAAATTGTAGTTTTTCAGAGAAGTGGGCGGCTGAATAAAAGTGCATAATGTCATCTGAATGGACAACTTGTGGAAGTCACACAAGGGTATAAATATTTAGGTTTGTTTTTAGCAGCAGGCTGTTATGGACACAAGCTTTAAGCAACATAGCAGTTCAAGCTAAAATGGTACTTATCAACCAATTAAAAATCATGAATTGTTTGCAGCCTTATTTTCTAAAATTTCTTTTCAGATTGTTTGACTCTAAGATATCACCTTTGTTACTGTATTGGTCAGAAATATGGACATTCCATAAAATGGAAGAAGTTGAGAAAGTTCATTTATATGCGTGTTAATGGTTATTGAATGTTAAACAATGTACATCAAGTAGCGCTGTATTGGGTGAATTTTGCAGAGTCCCTTTACATAACAATGGACCCGAGAAGATCCGGGGTTGAATAGGTCTTCAGCAACTCATGCTTGCCGTAAGAGGCGACTATGCTTGTCGTAAGAGGCGACTAACGGTATCGGGTGGTCAAACTCGCTGACTTGGTTGGTGCATGTCAAAAACCCAATTGAGTGGATCGATGCTCTTGATGTCAATCACTGGTTTGTCTGGTCCAGACTCGATTATTAACTGTCCGCCGTCATATAGCTGGAATTTTGCTGAGTATGGCGTTAAACAAAAAGCAAACAAACAAAAGAAGCAAATAATATATCAATGAAATGATAAGAGATTCTAAATATTGGCTAATGTGTATGCTGAGTACCCACTTACCTACAAAGCGTTATGATATGTTGTATTTATACAATAGTCAAGGAAAGAAGAATTGGGTTTCTTATATTAGAACAACGTTATTTTCTCTCGGATTCGGTCAAGTTTGGTTATCACAATCACTTGGTAATGTAAGGTATTTACTTCGATGTTATTGCAACGTTTGAAAGACAATTTTCAACAAATATGGCACAGAAGTTTGTGTAATAGCTTTAAGATGTCCTATTCTCATTTTAAATTTACTTGAACTGGGTCGATGTTTCTGCTGATGGACTTTCATCCTAAGCCCAGTAGCATTCTGTCTGTGCTGAGTCAACTGCAAAAGACATATTAGGGTCGATACATGAAATCTGTGGCGCAAAACGAATATATTTCTTAAATGTCATTCCACTATAGTCAGTAAATGCCCCATTGAGGATTGGTTGGTATGTTATTTTACACCGCACACAGCATTATACCAGCTATATGGTGGCTTTCTGTTGTAAATAATAGCGTCTGGACCAGACAATCCAGTGATTAATATCATGAGCATCGATCCACGCAATTGGGATCGATGACATGCGTCAACCAAGTCAGCGAGCCTTACCACCCGATCCCGTTAGTCGCCTTTTACGACAAGCATAGTCACCTTTTACGGCAAGCATGGGATGCTGAAGGCCTATTCTACCCCGGAATCTTCACGGGTCACCCTATTGAGGAACTGAATATCTGACGCATCGCTTCATTATATACTTTGTTACTTGCCGCCGTTGCACTGTAGAAATACTGCTGTGCGGTGTCAGGTAACAACACATATATTCTCATGTAAAATGTGTGAGTCTGGTGGGTGGCTGATTTTTCAGTGATCCACCCATTTATATTCACCACTTTGCATTTTAATCCGAATAGAATCTGTTTCGTTGGAAACTCGAGACCTGCTATTCTCTAGCTTTGATGTAATTTCCATGTAATTGTTCATGCGCTATTAAACACCTTCTTCTGGAATGTCATTGGTGACTAATATTTAAATATTTGTTTTTTGCATTTGGTGTTCAACAAGGTTCAACACGCCGTGTTAGCTATTTGAAAGATAGGAATTTGTTTGACAAAATGTAGTTTTATAGATTACAGTTTTTAGTCTGGTTTGTGTTCATGGCTGATATTTTGGTGACCAGCGTCAACAATTATTTTACTATATTGTGTATGAATATAGTGTATTTCCATTGTGTTCTGGCCACGAATAGCTGTAAAGTTGCTAATGCGGCGTTAAGCAACATTCACTCTATCAGAATAAAGAGTTATTCACATTACGTAAGTCTACCAAATGGATGGAATTATATATTTTGAATCCAGCCGGTATTCATTAACAGATTAAGTGTCCTACTTACATGGGGAAGTTTCAAGAACATTATGGCTTCCGGGGTTGTTAACCAACGTTAAGGAATGCGACATTCTGCAAACATTTTCTATTCAATTCAATTCAATTCGGTTTATTTCGTAAGTGTAGGCCATCGGCCCATAGTTACATTTGTATTACAATGGACATTGTATTACAGCTGTTATTGTTGTGACAATAATGTACTACGAAGTGTCATCGCTTGATAGATATAGATAGCTAGACGTTCAATTAATTTACAATCAGTTGTAGACATAATGATATTAAATTTTTGTATGGTCGGATATTCATAAAATGTTTGTAGTAAGTGATCCTAGCGTAGCTTGTTATAACCGGAACAAACTAACACAAAATGATACTCGTCCTCCACATAGCCAGCATTACAAACACAACATAGTTTTCTGTTACGTGGGATATCAGCATATCTCCCAGTTTCAACACACAGCTGATGCGAAAAACATCTAAACCGAGCTAGCGCCATGTTCTATCATTGACATGTTCTAAGAATAAGAGCTGTGCTGCTGAGACTAGGGTGCTAAAAAAATTAAACAAACGAATAATAGTCAAAGTGGTAAAAGTTCACTGTTTAAGTATTATCAACTGGAGAGGCAATCTAAACTGTTAGGCATAAATTGTCGAGTACAGTGATCACTGGCGAATCAACAATAAACGAATATACAAGCTCGTTAACTAAGCAACTGTATATCAGTCTTGCTTGACAACGGTATAAGGATCTGTACCGAAATGTCACCTTTACAGTAATAAAGACTAACGGGATCGGGTGGTCAGGCTCGCTGACTTGGTTGATACATGTCATCGATCCCAAATGCGTGGATCGATGCTCATGATGTCAATCACTGAATTGTCTGGTCCAGACTCGATTATTTTACAGACCGCCGTCATATAATTGGAATATTGCTGAGAGTGGCGTTAAACAACAGACCAAACCAAACCAAACCAAAGTAATACATTGAGATAAGAAAACTCATCCTTTTCGTGAGAAGCTAAGGTGAGAACTGTGGAGAACCAACAAATATAAGTTGTTTTCATGATCAAATGGTTCATCAGCGAAATCAATTCCGGTAGAAAATAAAACAGTGTTTAAGCCAATTGTATTTGAGTAGATCAATTATTAACATTAACTACAAAGAACCTTTTTTACTTGATGTGAATTATATAGAGGACTCTTTGGATTGGTCCATCACCACAACAGTTAAATGTCACATGTTTTGACAAGCCATCTCTACTCCACTGTCTAACAACTGGGGAGTCTGACGAATGGGATAAAAGCTCTGGCAAACGGGGTGTCTGACAATTGGGATATGAGCTCTGACAAATGGGGTGTCTGACAATTGGGAGAGATCCAATTTAGCCGACTGTGACCAATAAACACCCGGGAGTTAATTAACTCCGAACTCTCTAATGAGTGAAAATCCTGGAAGGGGAGCAATGGGCACTAGGGGCTTTTCGCTAAAATATGTCATTTGAACACTAAGGACAGGAATACGTCTAAATAGAAACTTAGCCTTAAAGACTGAAGTCGATTGGACTAAAACAAGAAAATACTTAACTTCCAGATTATACAGGTAGTTGACCAACAGATATTTTTGATTTACAACAATAAAATAGGTACTTGATCTAAGCTAGGAAACCAGAAAAAGTTAGTTATTCACGGATTACTAGAAATCAGGGGTATAAAATATATTACTGAAGTCAATATATTCTAGCTTATATCAGACACATAAACCATGAAACATTTATCTGTTGCAGACAATGTTCAGTAATAAGCAATCGTCTGGATTTGTTGATGACTGGCAGTCGGGGAAGACTGTCACTGAGTGTAATCTGCGCATGCTCGACACAGAAGACTTCAGTGACGTCATCTTCCGGGTTGGGTCAGTGAAGCAGATGGTCCGAGCCCACCGCTACGTTCTTGTCAGTCGCAGCTGTGTCTTCCGTGCCATGTTCTGTGGTAACCTGGCAGAGGAGAAGGAGGTGACCATCCCTGACATAGAGCCGCACATATTTAGAGAGTTCTTAAGGTAATCCCCATGTTACCTAAGATCATAAAGTTAGTGAGTTTAATTGGACATTATTACTTCCTGGCAGCTTGGTACGGAAACCGGAAGTTATGCAGGTCTTAAACCTGCTTCCACTTTTGTGAAACCCGTGACAAACCTGGGACCATAGTCATGGCAATTCTAGGATTCGAACCAGTGATCACTGGTTTGTGGCATGCCTAGGGGACGCAACAGCGAATTGTTTCACCTTACATGACTGTGTCATATTTGTCCCATTAGATACTTTAAGGATAACATGAGGAACATAAAATATCAGTTCACTATTCAAAGCCATAAATGCGTAAACCAATGTGTTGTATGTGGTTTTGATGCAAATTCTAAGGAAACAGATTGACCAGGTTAAATATTTTATCATTTGCTGAGCAGTTCTATTGGTGTGATGGTCTAATAATTAACTATTTTATGTGTAGGTTTGTATACACAGAAAAGGCAGATGTCAGCGCTGGAACAGTTGTGGGATTAATGTACACATCCAGGAAATATTCTGTAGATGCATTGTACAACAAATGTGTAATATTTATGGAGACATGTCTGTCAGAGAACAATGTCTGTCTGATCCTTGAAGACAGCCATCGTTACGGGGAGTTTGACTTGGAAAAGAAAGCCCTGATGATCCTGACTGAAGGAGGGGAGAGAGTCATCAGATCTCCAGGATTTGCAGAGCTGTGCAGTACTTGTCTGGAGAAGTTCCTTAAGTCGGAGAATTTGAAATCAAAAGAAGAAGACATTTTTGAGGCGATAATGTCATGGACAAAACACAGATGTCTGCAAGAAGGTATGCCCGACACACCTGAGAACCTACGGAGACTTCTTGGTGATATGCGGTATGAGATCCGGTTTAACAGCATGCCTCTGGACTATCTCATGACAGTTGTAGGTCCTACGGAAGTGCTGACTGACATTGAGAAATGTCAAATGATAGACAAAAGGGTAAACTCTCATATCGACATCTCTCCTTTCAAGGATATACAGAGGAAAGAATGTAACCATTTTTGGGAGGAGCCTGTATCGTATAGGTATGTTTGCAGGTTTAGAGATTATGGGCTTACAGCTCTGCACAAGGGAACACATGCGATATCGTTTTCAGCAAATCAGGATCTTCACTTGAAAGGTTGTCAATTATATGGCGCAGAGCGTGATGAAACGTTTACCCTGAGTATAAAAGTGTTTGACAGCAGTCATTTGAAGATTGCTGAACCATTGCAGAAAATAAAGCGAGTCCTTGAAGGCCAGAATCAGCCAAACGAGGTTCTGTTCCCCACGTCTCTCTTACTGATCTCGGGTGCAACATATACTCTGTGTGTGGACATGGAGGGAACCGACACATACATTGGATGGGAGGGTAGCAAGAAAGTAATAGCTGATGGAATAGAGTTCACCTTCGAAAACTCCCCCATGGCAACGTCGGGAACAACAATTTACGCAGGACAGATACCTGGATTGATATTTAGCCACACGTCACATGCGTTAACGCTATGTTGCTGATTACTGTGCGGGAAATACTCTTTTGTACTTGCTTTACTTTGTCCACACTCATCACTGCTAAGAAGAAAAAGGCTTCGGAGGCTATATCGGTATTTTATGATCCTGTGATAATCGCAGCGTCTTCTTTGGAATATTAAGGACAACAGAAAGAGGAAATGTATGTAACAACCTGAACGAGCATCATCACTGAAAACAACACTGACGTGTATAGGACGTAATGAAATCATTGAAATACTCGATCTGTGATATCAGTATTCCCTGCACTCTCGCACTCACAGACACTCTCTCCTTCCGAAAGCATTCAACGTGAGCTATATGTTGAATGGAATAAGTACAACTGACAATAGCGCCCTTTCCTTACGTGTTTAACATGACCCGTATGTTACACCTCCCTAGGTACAATACTCAATAGCGCCTCTCTTCACTTATTCAACACGAACCTACGCTCTGTAGGTAAATTTACTCAATAGCGCCCCTCCTTAAGCATTCAACATAAACTGTATGTTGCTGTGCTATAGGTAAATGTACTCAATAGCGCCTCTCCTTAAGCATTCAACTTAAACTGTATGTTGCTGTGCTACAGGTAAATTTACTCAATAGCGCCCCTCATTAAGCATTCAACTTAAACTTATGTTGCTGTGCTATAGGTAAATGTACTCAATAGCGCCTCTCCTTTTAGCATTCAACTTAAACTGTATGTTGCTGTGCTATAGGTAAATTTACTCAGATACGCCCCTCCTTAAGCATTCAACTTAAACTTATGTTGCTGTGCTATAGGTAAATGTACTCAATAGCGCCTCTCCTTAGGCATTCAACTTAAACTGTATGTTGCTGTGCAATAGGTAAATTTACTCAATAGCGCCTCTCCTTAAGCATTTAACTTAAACTTATGTTGCTGTGCTATAGCAAAATTTACTCAATAGCGCCTCGCCTTAAGCATTTAACTTCAACTGTATGTTGCTGTGCTATAGGTTAATGTACTCAATAGCGCCTCGCCTTAAGCATTCAACTTAAACTGTATGTTGCTGTGCTATAGGTAAATGTACTCAATAGCGCCTCCCCTTAAGCATTCAACTTAAACTGTATGTTGCTGTGCTATAGGTAAATGTACTCAATAGCGTCTCGCCTTAAGCATTCAACTTAAACTTATGTTGCTGTGCTATAGGTAAATGTACTCAATAGCGCCCCTCCATAAGGCATTCAACTTGCACTTATGTTGCTGTGCTATAGGTAAATTTACTCAATAGCGCCCCTCCTTAAGCATTCAACTTAAACTGTATGTTGCTGTGCTATAGGTAAATTTACTCAATAGCGCCCCTCATTAAGCATTCAACTTAAACTTATGTTGCTGTGCTATAGGTAAATGTACTCAATAGCGCCTCTCCTTAGGCATTCAACTTAAACTGTATGTTGCTGTGCTACAGGTAAATTTACTCAGATACGCCCCTTCTTAAGCATTCAACTTAAACTGTATGTTGCTGTGCTATAGGTAAATGTACTCAATAGCGACTCTCCTTAAGCATTCAACTTAAACTGTATGTTGCTGTGCAATAGGTAAATTTACTCAATAGCGCCTCGCCTTAAGCATTCAACTTAAACTGTATGTTGCTATGCTATAGGTAAATTTACTCAATAGCGCCTCGCCTTAAGCATTCAACCTAAACTGTATGTTGCTGTGCTATAGGTAAATGTACTCAATAGCGCCTCGCCTTAAGCATTCAACTTAAACTTATGTTGCTGTGCTATAGGTAAATGTACTCAATAGCGCCCCTCCATAAGGCATTCAACTTGCACTTATGTTGCTGTGCTATAGGTAAATTTACTCAATAGCGCCCCTCCTTAAGCATTCAACTTAAACTGTATGTTGCTGTGCTATAGGTAAATTTACTCAATAGCGCCCCTCATTAAGCATTCAACTTAAACTTATGTTGCTGTGCTATAGGTAAATGTACTCAATAGCGCCTCTCCTTAGGCATTCAACTTAAACTGTATGTTGCTGTGCTACGGGTAAATTTACTCAGATACGCCCCTTCTTAAGCATTCAACTTAAACTGTATGTTGCTGTGCTATAGGTAAATGTACTCAATAGCGACTCTCCTTAAGCATTCAACTTAAACTGTATGTTGCTGTGCAATAGGTAAATTTACTCAATAGCGCCTCGCCTTAAGCATTCAACTTAAACTGTATGTTGCTATGCTATAGGTAAATTTACTCAATAGCGCCTCGCCTTAAGCATTCAACCTAAACTGTATGTTGCTGTGCTATAGGTAAATGTACTCAATAGCGCCTCGCCTTAAGCATTCAACTTAAACTTATGTTGCTGTGCTATAGGTAAATTTACTCAATAGCGCCTCGCCTTAAGCATTCAACCTAAACTGTATGTTGCTGTGCTATAGGTAAATGTACTCAATAGCGCCTCACCTTAAGCATTCAACTTAAACTTATGTTGCTGTGCTATAGGTAAATGTACTCAATAGCGCCCCTCCATAAGCATTCAACTTGCACTTATGTTGCTGTGCTATAGGTAAATCTACTCAATAGCGCCCCTCCTTAAGCATTCAACTTAAACTGTATGTTGCTGTGCTATAGGTAAATTTACTCAATAGCGCCCCTCATTAAGCATTTAACTTAAACTTATGTTGCTGTGCTATAGGTAAATGTACTCAATAGCGCCTCTCCTTAGGCATTCAACTTAAACTGTATGTTGCTGTGCTACAGGTAAATTTACTCAGATACGCCCCTTCTTAAGCATTCAACTTAAACTTATGTTGCTGTGCTATAGGTAAATGTACTCAATAGCGCCTCTCCTTAAGCATTCAACTTAAACTGTATGTTGCTGTGCAATAGGTAAATTTACTCAATAGCGCCTCGCCTTAAGCATTCAACTTAAACTGTATGTTGCTGTGCAATAGGTAAATTTACTCAATAGCGCCCCTCCTTAAGCATTTAACTTAAACTTATGTTGCTGTGCTATAGCAAAATTTACTCAATAGCGCCTCGCCTTAAGCATTCAACTTAAACTGTATGTTGCTGTGCTATAGGTAAATGTACTCAATAGCGCCTCGCCTTAAGCATTCAACTTAAACTGTATGTTGCTGTGCTATAGGTAAATGTACTCAATAGCGCCTCGCCTTAAGCATTCAACTTAAACTTAGGTTGCTGTGCTATAGGTAAATGTACTCAATAGCGCCCCTCCATAAGCATTCAACTTGCACTTATGTTGCTCTGCTATAGGTAAATTTACTCAATAGCGCCCCTCCTTAAGCATTCAACTTAAACTGTATGTTGCTGTGCTATAGATAAATTTACTCAATAGCGCCCCTCATTAAGCATTCAACTTAAACTTATGTTCCTGTGCTATAGGTAAATGTACTCAATAGCGCCTCTCCTTAAGCATTCAACTTAAACTGTATGTTGCTGTGCTACAGGTAAATTTACTCAGATACGCCCCTCCTTAAGGATTCAACTTAAACTTATGTCGCTGTGCTATAGGTAAATGTACTCAATAGCGCCTCGCCTTAAGCATTCAACTTAAACTGTATGTTGCTGTGCTATAGGTAAATTTACTCAATAGCGCCTCGCCTTAAGCATTCAACTTAAACTGTATGTTGCTGTGCTATAGGTAAATTTACTCAATAGCGCCTCGCCTTAAGCATTCAACTTAAACTGTATGTTGCTGTGCTATAGGTAAATTTACTCAATAGCGCCCCTCCTTAAGCATTCAACTTGAACTGTATGTTGCTGTGCTATAAGTAAATTTACTCAATAGCGCCCCTCCTTAAGCATTCAACTTAAACTGTATGTTGCTGTGCTATAGGTTAATGTACTCAATAGCGCATCGCCTTAAGCATTCAACTTGAACTGTATGTTGCTGTGCTATAGGTAAATTTACTCAATAGCGCCCCTCCTTAAGCATTCAACTTACACTTATGTTGCTGTGCTATAGGTAAATTTACTGAATAGCGCCTCTCCTTAAGCATTCAACTTAAACTGTATGTTGCCGTGCTATAAGTAAATTTACTCAATAGCTCCCATCCCTAAGCATTCAACTTAAACTTATGTTGCTGTGCTATAAGTATATTTACTGAATAGCGCCTCGCCTTAAGCATTCAACTTAACCTGTATGTTGCTGTGCTATAGGTAAATTTACTCAATAACGCCCCTCCTTAAGCATTTATATTAAACTTATGTTGCTGTGCTATAGGTAAATTTACTTAATAGCGCCTCGCCTTAAGCATTCAACTTAATCTGTATGTTGCTGTGCTGTAGGTAAATTTACTCAATAACGCCCCTCCTTAAGCATTTATATTAAACTTATGTTGCTGTGCTATAGGTAACTTTACTCAATAGCACCCCTCCTTAAGCATTCAACTTAATCTGTATGTTGCAGCTCTTTTGGTACCTTAGCCTTTCTCCTTAGCCAGCATTAATCGTATGCGGCAAAGTAAAATATGTTTTCTTTATTTGTTTGTTGTTAAATGCCACAATCAGCAATATTCCAGCTATATGACGGCGGTCTGTATATAATCGAGTCTGGACCAGACAATCCAGTGATTGACAGCCTGAGCATCGATCCACGCATTTGTGATACGATGACATGCATCAACCAAGTCAGCGAGTTTGACCACCCGATCCCGTTAATCGCCTCTTACGACAGGCATGGATTGCTGAAGACCAATTCTAACCCGGAATCTTCACGGGACACAATGTAATAGAGCAGGTCCTATGACTGAACAGTCACGGTTAAGAGCTCCCTCTTTTTGCATTTTGCAGATGGCTACATACTCATGTGCCCCTATCAGCCAACCAGAATCTAATTTACAACGAAATATAAGACGTCAACGCCAGCGCATAACTAGTCTCAATTATCCACCGAAACACACAAAAATGCTGACAAGCAATTTCAAAGGTTTAATGAGATTTAAGCGTATTCTGACCCAACGCAGCGTGAGATGAAACAGCTATTAAATGTGCACGCAATCTTCACCAATACAAGATAAGTGCGTCTTCACTCTTCAGCGAGATTACGTTTTACAAGAAACTTCAAGATAACTAGAATGATAACTGGATATTTCATTTGGTTATGAATGAGCCCGAAAACTATAGCTTCGGTATAACTAAATTCCTTTCACTACATATTCTAGATAAACTGTATCCCTTCGCACAGTGTATTTGCACATGTGACCAAAAGGCCCACAGCACATCATGCATGCAATGCCCTTCTACATCGTTGCAGCACAACCTTGACATTGTAGTTCCATAATATAAAGGACGGGTTTACAAACAAGTATTTCACAATAGATTCATATTGGCTTCTTAGCCCTCATGAGGAATATGCAGTACAATAACACTGAAAACTTTAATGGCACGTTCTCATTTTCGGTTTGGAATATATCGTACAACATAACTAAATTCAATTTACTACATATTCAAGATATACTCAGTCTCTATACTTAGACAATTATTGAAACTGACAATATATAAAATCAATATGCTGAGTTTGGCAAACGGAATTATAGAAACGTTGATACCTCGGTGTGGACCCATTATCTGCCAGTAATCGGCAGCTGACTCTTATAGGTTGAACAATAGCAGACGACGCGAACATCATACATGTAAGTTGCAAAATCAGATTTGTTTTCAATGATTATATGCATCGAGCTTTTACTTTTCAAAGCTTATGTATATTAAACGACGTTTTAGTTTACATAAAATAATCTTTGTTTTGTATATTGATAGAAGAACAATCAAACACAGTATGTTTGAATTTAATAGAGGTTAATAGAAATCTACGCATTTTGTCTGTAATTGTGAAGTGGGTGAAATTAAATTCACGCTGCTGAAAAACAGTGAGTGAGTATGGTTTTACGCCGCGTTTAGCAATATTCCAGCAATATCACGGCGGGGGACACCAGAAATGGGCTTCACATATAGTGAGTGAGTGAGTGAGTGAATGAGTATGGTTTTACGCCGCTTTTAGCAATATTCCAGCAATTTCACAGCGGGGGACACCAGAAATGGGCTTCACACATTGTACTCATGTGGGCAATCGAACCCGGGTCTTCAACGTGACGAGCGAACGCTTAAACCACTAGGCTACACAAAAACCCTGCTGTAAAAAGTATTTCGATTATTTAATTGCGTGTCATCTCGATATGAATGGGTGTGGTTAGCAATACACCAGTTTTATATCAGTGCGGGAGACACCAGAAATGGGCTTCACACATTGTACCCATGTGGGGCTTTGAAACTGCAGCTGTGAGGAAAAGCCAAATTGATACAGATCACACACGAATCCCAACCATTATACTAGAATACAGCTGACAAATCCAAGGTCAGTGATGAGGAGGTTAATGGCTAATTTTGTGGGAATACGTTCAGCTTAAACACGCCGGAATAGTTGACAGGTTTATGACGATGTTGTTCCCCTTCTGACGAGCGACGCATTCTCCGCACGTTTGATTGCATCCACTTCAAATACACACATGGACGATGAGGGTAATATATACAGTCCATCATGAAGGTATGTAACAGCTGAGCGAGGCAACGGTTGGTTGGTTGTTTAACGCCGCACTCAGCAATATTCCAGCTATATGACGGCGATCGGGTGGTCAGGCTCGCAGACTTGGTTGATGCATGTCATCGATCCCAATTGCGTGGATCGATGCTCATGATATTAATAACTGGATTGTCTGGTCCAGACTCTATTATTTACAGACCGCCGACATATAACTGGAATGTTGCTGAGTGCGGCGTTAAACAACAAACCAACAACAACAACAACTACAATGTGTGAAGCCCATTTTCCGGTGTTTCCCGCCGTGATATTGCTGAAATATTGCTAAGAGCGGCGTAAAAGCATACGCATTCACTCACTCACTCAATCACTAGCTAGAAACGGCCTCTTATGGATTTTTAACAAAAGACGGATCTGTCAAAACTGGAAACATTAAACTTGTTTTTGATGGCACAGCTCGCTGTTCTTATGCATACAAAGCATGTCCTCAAGCGAAGAACGGCCTCCAAAGGACGGATCTGTCGAAACTGAACAAATAAACTCATAAACATAACATTTTCTATGTGGCACAGCTCGCTGTTACTATGCACCAAAAGGATATCCAACAAACAAACAAACAAACAAATGACAATATGGCAGGTAGGGTTATTAGGCAGTATGTTTTCTGACTAGCTACTCCACAATCTATTCATATATATGCAGCCACGTCTTCTTCTTCCTCTTCTTCTTATTTATAGATTATGTAAAGGACAAAATTATCGCTAATCGCATTAAATGTTATTCATTATTATAGCGGGCGGTCGGGTAGCCTGGTGGTTAAAGCGTTTGCTCGTCACGCTGAAGACCCGGGTTCGATTCCCGACATGGGTACAATGTGTGAAGCCCATTTCTGGTGTCCCCCGCCGTGATATTGCTGGAATATTGCTAAAAGCGGCGTAAAATCAAACTCACTCACTCACTCACTCATTATTATAGCATTATTATAATCGTTCTCTCAATCACTGCTTTGCCTGTCCCAGACAATGGCCATTGAAGGCTACAGATGAATTAGTAAAAGATTAATGCACTGATATGTACCATCCTGCCATAGTTGATATTTGATTGTTTGTTTCACGTTTAACGCTGCACTCAGCAATACTACAGCTTCGTGACGGCGGTCTGTAAATAATCGAGTCTAGACCAAACAAACCAGTGATTGATACAATGCCGTCGGAGTACGATGGTTAAAGCGTTCGCTCGTCACGAAGAAGACCGGGGTTCGATTCCCGACATGGGTACAATGTGTGAAGCCCATTTCTGGTGTCCCCCGCCGTGATATTGCTGGAATATTGCTAAAAGCGGCGTTAAACCAAACTCACTCACTCACTCCTATCCATTGGGGGTCCGGTCATTTAAGATTTTGTAGGGGGGGGGGGGGGGGGGGATTTCACGTTTTAGGGAGATAGCCTGGGATCTGGTCCCGAAAAGGCTTGAAACAAATGATCTGATAGAAATAAATCACTGAAGTAATCTCTGTTGCACATAAAATTTATTTATATTTTACAAATATCAGTGAGACTTCAACATTTATTCTCTTGATGCACTTCACGTCCGTGTCTACAACTTTAATGCAGGGCGCTAAGCTTTGCTTTGTGAAAAAGTCCAGCTAGTGTTATGGGAGAGTAAGCAGGACATACATATACTTCAACGAGCATTGTTAAAGGCGCCGTGAATGCCAACGTTTGAAATAAGGCTTGCTAGACCTACCACAATAATGGGAGCGGAGGACATATCAAATAGCTGCATTTGATTAAAATTTTGACAGGCCCTAAGATCGGCATTCCCTCCATCCCCCAGAACATCGAAAGAATTTCACCTTATGCATAGGCGGACGCATCCATCCTCGGAAAACCAAATGTAGTATGATGTAGATATCCCCCCCCCCCCCCCCCCCCCCCCCACACACACACACACACACAGAGACACACTCAACTCATATCCTGGGACATTTTTACTTGATTTAATGTAGTTTCACGAGGTACATAAACTTGTTATGAAATGGATAAAATGTGTTTTGTATCCAATTTTTTACAGACTATTATTTTGAATCAATAATCAGCAAAATTAAAACATGTTAACCTGTCTTAAAAAAGTGAGGAAAGTGCGTATGAATACAACATGCACAAAATGTAAACTGTGAAACCCATCACCGCATCGGACGTGTCATAGCATCCCTGCAGGCTAAATGAGAGAGAAACGAATTTTGAGGGCAACATAATCGACATTACTTTTAGTACCTGTTTTGTGACTTGCATAACTGACCCGTGACGAGATCGCCCGTTGAGGAACAAAGCATCTTCTGTTTAACATGTTTTTTAATAACATCAGGTGCGGACGGGACTACTATTTGCACCCACTGGTTATTCGAATGGGGGACCTGAGTCGATAGCGCTGTGGAACTGTACTCTGCAACGTCTAATCACCTCCTAACGCCGCGATTCGCTGTGCAGAGTTGCGTCCCTTGGGCACGCCAGAAACCAATGATTGTGGGTTCGAATCCCGGTTTGCCCCCGATTATATTTCTAGGTTTGTCAGCACCATACCCGTGCTCGTGGGTTTCACCGAATGGTAAACGTCTGAGACCTGCATCACTTCGGGCTTTCCTCCCACACTAAGCTGACACGACGTGATATAACTAGAATACTGTTAAAAGTGGCGTTAAACCCAACTCACTCACACACTCACTAATGACTCCCTGAAGGATAATGCACTCTCGATAGACACTAGTATTTTTCTCAAACCTCCAGTGATGGATATACAAATTTTGAATGCATCTCAAAACTAGCCATAGCCAAGCAGGGTGACATGTTGCCACATGATGACATGGGTCAGTCAAACATCTCTCTGTTTGTTTGTTTGTTTGTTTGTTGTTGTTTAACGCCTCACCCAGCAATATTCCCGCTATATGGCGGCGGTCGATAAATAATCAAGTCTGGACCAGACAATCCAGTGATTGACATAATGAGCATCGATCCGCGCAATTGGGATACGATGACATGTATCAACCAAGTCAGCTAGCCTGACCACCCGAACCCGTTTGTCGCTTCTAACGACAAACATGGGTTGCTGAAGACTTATTCTAACCCGGATCTTCACGGGTCCGAAAATCTATGTGGCCCCCCTACATTGACCGAGTTTGACGCAAGGTTTTTGCGTTGAACACAGGTGTTTCTAACTTGTGATGTTTGTGCATACTTATATTAATGTGGACGTGTTTTAAGAATCAGCATACTATTGAATCTTTCTTTCAACTTCATTTTACAAATATTGAAATTTTTCAAGTGAAACGATGAGCGTTATCATTATTTATCTAGTAACTGTTTCAATTTGTATACATCGATTTTTGTTTGGCCAATTGTATTCCAGTTGATCAGCAAGCAGGCTGTTTCACGTGAATTTCTATTTACATCTATCTGGACCAAGAACATTAAATATGATATGGAATATGTGTGTACTTTATAATACATATTTTAGTTTATGCTAAATCAAATAAGTCAATCAGCCAATCAAATTCTATGCAAGTATTATTAAACACGCTTTCAAATGTCATCTGAGAAAAAAAATTGTGAAATGCTGGACTTCCTCATTGATATATATGGTTTTACGCCCTATTTAACAATATTCCAGGAATATCACGGCGGGGGACACCAGAAATGGGCTTCACACATTGTACCCATGTCGGGTATCGAACCCGGGTCTTCGGCGTGACGTACGAACGCTTTAACCACTAGGCAACAGAGTTTGTTTCAGTTATTTATTTCTCTCAGATAATTTGTTTCAAGCATTTTCGGGACCAGATCCCAGGCTGTCTCCCTAAAACGTGAAATACAACCCCCCACCCCCACTACAAAATATTAAATGATCGGACCCTCAATGGATAGGAGTGAGTGAGTGAGTTTAGTTAAACGCCTCTTTTAGCAATATTCCAACAATATCACGGCGGGGGACACCAGGAATAGGCTTCACACATTATACCCATGTCGGGAATCGAACCCGTGTCTTCTTCGTGACGAGCGAATGCTTTAACCACTAGGCTACACAAAAAACCCTGCTGTAAAAAGTATTTCGATTATTTAATGGCGTGTCATCTCGATATGAATGAGTGTGGTTAGCAATACTCCAGTTTTATATCAGTGCGGGAGACACCAGAAATGGGCTTCACACATTGTGCATAAGATCTATCTAAAATAGGGGCCAAGATATTTAGGCACAAGAAGTAAGCATCCTCATGGGCTTCGTATTTGCGGATGTTTCCTATTTGCAGTATATCAATCGGAACTTCCGATTGGCAAAGTCAAAACGATGGTGTTAATCCTGCTGGGGCACCAAGCAGGTAGCAGAAGTAGCACTCGGAAACCGGAGGTGCATATAACGTCTTTGTAAAATTATCTGAAGGCATGTTACTTCCGGTTTCAGAGTTATTCGGCATTGGCTGTGTGAGTTCTAAAACAGGACGGGATAACATTACACAAGAATTGCTTATAACTTTATTGTTAACTTTGTTGTTAAGGTATCTTGAAACATAGGCTTTTCTGTTTCAAAGTTGTATAGCATTGCGATGACAACTGTCACCAGATTTGGTAAAGTCTGAATGGTTCATAATACGTTTCAGATGGTAAGGGTTTTGGGACATTCGGGAAACCATGGTGACGGTGCGGCTTCTGTTATCCATGTAATTCAAATACCTTTCGGGTGGTGGGGTAGCCTAGTGGTTAAAGCGCTCGCTCGTCCCGTCGAAGACCCGGGTTCGATTCCCGACATGGATGTGAAGCCCATTTCAGCTGTCCCCTGCCGTGATATTGCTGGAATATTCACTCACTCAATCATCCAAACACCTTTCTAGTTTGTTTTGTCAATAACAAACTAAATAAACCTTAATTCATTTTGTCAATAACTAACTCTTAGTAAACACCATTTTTGGTCAATAATTCTTCGCAACAAAACTCCTAAATATTTTGTCATTATTACGACGCAAGTCATTTCTAATTTGTTTTGTTAATAAATCATCTTCAATTAAACCCTCTTTATTATTTCAATGACTTACTGCAAATAAATCATTACATAAAAAAAAAACAATGTAAAACATTCCTCCAATTTTTGTACGGCCAATATAATCTTGTTAATTCTCTGATTGTGCTTTGTGGTTAAATATGGCACACCTTGGAATGGTTTCAGTATTATTTCAAGACTTCCACACACAACAGTTATCTATTATTTAACCTAGTTCTCTATCTGTAACTATAAAAAAAATGCACCAGGTGTCAGAATGGCATGGAATAACAGGATGTTTTCAGGTAAATGTGATTTTTTTTTTCAAACGTAATCAGATAGACACATTGTGACTTATTTCATCCTGGTAACAAAATTCCACAATTAGTGATGGTTGAACGACAACATTCACGAACAAGCACTAATCATGACCTCTGCGACTGTTAGACATATATTACAATGTTATCTGTGCCATATTGCAAATCTCAGTGGACGGACGGTGTGATAAAAACCTAAAAGCATAGACAAGCAACCTTACAATGCTAGCTTCGCCTCCTTCTATAAGGCCTCGCTATTTGTTGTGCAGAAATCACAGGTTCACCCTGATGGTACTTCATTGACCACACTACACCCGTTCTCGTGGGTTAATCAAAGTGCTAAAACAAGATCGGCATGCCTTCAAAGCGGTATTAAACCTATCAATCTCCCTGTTTTACACGTGTTCCACATCTACACAATTATAATTCCACTATTTTTAGGTACATTCCTTCTCCTTGTCCCGGCTTTGGTGTCAACAAGTCTGCAAGGTATGGACGCTGAGTCATATCTACACCATGTACATCCCGCCCAGATTATATACCTTTCAACCCCTGTTGGGATTCCGAGTTGGAATTGGTTCCCAGCAACGCATGATGGTCGTGAGAGGCCACTTAATGGATCGGATGGCCAGGCTCAGTTACGTGGAAGTCATTGTGCCCATCATACATGAGCATGTTTACAGGGTTCAATCTTCTGTTACAGTGTTCTGTCTTTTGTAGTAATTTTGAAGACTTATGTTGTAGTCTCATGTAACAGTGTTCAGATTTCTGTAACAGTGTTCAGACTCATATAATAGTGTTCAGACTTTAGTTACAGTGTTATGTCTTTTGTAACAATGTTCCGACTTTTGTTACAGTGTTCGAACTTCTGTTGGTGTATTCTGCTAGTGTGTTCTGTCGTTTCTTACAGAATAATTTGTTCTGTTACAGTGCCACAAATGCCGAGTCATGAGTGTTACCACTGTAGAGGGGCTCTGACATTGGACGAGTGTTCGAAAAAGGACTGCCATCCCCCTGGGGTACAATAACATTTGAGCATCTCTGATGAAGAATTTCTTTTCAAGTGGATATTTAAATTATGACTTGTAATACGAATGGTTTGCGAATGGTACTTAATAATAAGTATATGAACTTAATACTTGTGTGAACTGTCACGTCATTTGAAATTAAACTAATTTATATATGTGATGCTGATTACGTTATCTGAAATAATGTTCAAATGAAAGCCACGAGTATGAGGAATTAGTTTCCATGTTTGTCTCTATAGGCGTGCTATATGGAGGTATATCGCGTAGGTGACAGTGAGAGAATACATGCCGAGTGCCTCCCCAGCCTGGTGAGTGTACTCCATAATATTCACTGTAAGAAATTGTTACACAATTTATCGCTAGAAAATATAAACATAAACATCGAATGACGAATCTGAAAAAAGCATTAAATATTGCATGGGCTGTACTTCCATTCATAATCAGTACTAAGATTGTGATATATCAACGTCATATCATTATATCAATGAGAAAAGTGTTTTTGCCATGATTTTTTCATTCAGAGGTGTAGAAAAATAAACTAAGTGTGTTGCAGTGAATGTTGCAGGAACATAAGAATATATCCTGTTATTGCTTTCATCATGTCATATATTTTTGTTGTGATGAGTCTGAGTTCTTGTATTTAGAAATGCCTCTTGAAGAAAACGGGGACCCCATTTGTTATGTGGAAAGTACGTGGGTCAAGGACATGTCATGATTGTTGCTTTGGAAATCTCTGCAATTATCATCTTTGTAGATCCTGTGAGTAATGTTTATTTCTTAATTCTAATTCACTTAGTATGACACATAATTGTTTTTTATAGCTAAAATGGACAGAATTATCATTAAACCGCCCGCATTTTATCAGAAATCAGCAGGCAACTGTAGCTTGATAATGCCCTTATATTCCTTGACGACGGTCCATTATCACGCCCGTTGTTGGGTGACGTCGTAGGGTAGGGATAGGTGACGTCACGTTCAATAGTGACGTCACCTGGTTTGTTCTATGACGTTTCCATAATAGTAAAAGTGGGTCAGTGACATTCGTGTTGATGGCAGTAAATGTAAAACCGATATTGTTGTTTGTTTTAGCTGTAATAACGGTTACGCTATTTTTCAGGGCATTATCATTTGCAGAGGCCCTCGGTCTTTTCAATGGAAGACCTCGGACTTCTGCAAATAGTAATGCCCTTAAAAATAGCGTTACCCTTATATTAATGTGTAAAGTGCATCACTACGGCAGTTTGGTGATAATTTAATTATCATTTCAAAAGTATGTTTCACTTTTAGCACATGCGTGGTCAACGGTACCAACACCAAGGAAGACAACTTCGGCACGCCACATCATCGTAACCCATGCACCACACAAAACCTTAGTACCCCACATCCTACCCCAGATCCATGTACCACATTTACATGCAGCATCAAGTTCGACACACAAACCCCATGTACATGCAGCATCAAGTTCGACACACAAACCCCATGTACACGCAGCATCAAGTTCGACACGCAAATCCCATATACATGCAGCATCAAGTTCGACACACAAACCACATTTACATGCAGCATCAAGTTCGACACACAAACCCCATGTACACGCAGCATCAAGTTCGACACACAAATCCCATGTACATGCAGCATCAAGTTCGACACACAAACCCCATGTACATGCAGCATCAAGTTCGACACACAAACCCCATGTACACGCAGCATCAAGTTCGACACACAAACCCCATGTACATGCAGCATCAAGTTCGACACACAAACCTCATGTACATGCAGCATCAAGTTCGACACACAAACCCCATATACATGCAGCATCAAGTTCGATACCCCATACACATGCAGAAACAAGCTCGACACACAATTCACATATACATGCATCATTAGGTTCGACACACAAACCCCATGTTTATGCAGCAACAAGTTCGACACACAACGCCCATATACATGAAGTAACAATCTCGACATACAAACCACACACTAATGTATTATCAAGTTCGACACAGAAGCTTCGTAAATATACAGCAACAAGTTCGACACATGCATCCCATATGCATGCCGTAACAAGTTCGACATACAAACCTTATGCATCTCATGCTGTAACACATCAGACATACGAACCTACTACACCCTTATACAAAACATTTATAAGCACACATGCAACAGACCCATCTGAATCCCATACGGCCTCACTGTCACAACCAAGACCAGTTACAAGCTTTCATACAAGTAAGTTATTTTAAAATATTTTTATGTTGAGAATAAGGTTGACAAATTGAAAATGGGTTGTATTAAAATGTTTGTTTCGGAACAATGTATTCCCAGAATTCACTTAACACAAAATTTAGAAGAAAAAAATCAACAAGATATTATCTGTTTACGATATATTTATCTTTGACCAAAACGGATGATAGTGTGCTTGATGTGCAGATATCCAGCAAAAAAAATATAACTGGAAGGTACTGTTTTCTAAATTGTTCTTTCGGGATTGGTCTATCAGAAGTAATTTTAATATTGTACCTCACATACTACATAATATAAGGAAGTGAAACATTTCCTTTCAAGAAACATGTGCTGTGTGCAATGGGACGTTATGTGGAGTTTTTCCTGATAAGGAGGAGTCTAACGTCATATGTCCAGGACATTCTCCTTTTTGCATGAACACTGTGGACAACGCAGTGTCGGGTACAAGGCGTATAACCAAAAGGTACTGTCATATGATGTTCAACAATAATGAAATGGTTCTGGGTGCGCGGGCCGCCCAGTCGTCTGAAGCGCCGCAATTCGCTGTGCAGAGTTGCGTCCCTTGAGCACGCCAGAAACCTATGATTGTGGGTTCAACTTCGGGTTAACCCCGATTATGTCTCTAGGTTTGTCAGCACCATACCCGTGCACGTGGGTTTCACCAAAGTGGTAAACGACCTGCATCACTTCGGGCTTGCCTCCAACGTAAAGCTGACACGCCATGATATGACTGGAATACTGTTAAAAGCGGCGTTAAGCCTAACTCACACACTCACTCACTCTTTAAGAATAATATTCAGAATTGTACTGCACATACTGTACACGTTCTGTTAGGATAAGCACCACTCGTTCTTTATCTTCAAATAAGAATCAGTCTAAGAATTTGGTCTTCAGCAACCGATGCTTGTAAGAGGCAACTAACGGAATCGGACAGTCAAGCGTTAAGCCTAATTCATAAACTCACTCACTCTATAAGAACAGAATTCAAAATTGTACTGCACATACTGTACACGTTCTGATTCGATAAGAACCATTGATGCTTTATTTTCAAAAAAGAATCATTCTAAGAATTTGGTCTTCAGCAACCGATGCATGTAAGAGGCACTTAACGGAATCGGGTGGTCATGCAACAGCCAGGAAACGCGTTAAACGACTTCAGTATCATTGTTATCATGATTATTTATCGGATAAAGTTATATGCGGTCTGTATATATGAGGACATCTTCCCGAGGCAAGTGAGTTAACTGACTATAAAAGTCCAGTTTCCACCCTTGCCGAACTAGGCTGGTATTATGGAGTTACATTTTGGCTGGACTAACGATTCTATGCATAGTCCAATCAAAATCGCGCACCGAAATGGAAATCCAGTTCGTAAACTGTCATGCAGATTTCGGTCGACTGCAGGATTTGCAAAGCATGTGCACCGCTAACTCGTTGTCAACAGATATTTTTTAAATCTTTTCTTGCTTTTAATCAAGGTGCTCACGTGATTTGATGCACTTCGCGATGTGAGCTTCGTTTTATCACAATATAGATCTTGATTATCAATCAGATCGTCTTGACTGGGCGCCACAGTTTTAGTTTGAAGCAAATGCAAGTGATACGAGAGGTTGAATCTGATTGGTCAATAGGAGAGGCATAGAAAGGACATAACTCGTAATAGCCACTGTTGGCGCTATGATCGAACCCAGGAATTCCAGCCTAGTTCGGCAAGGGTGTAAACTGGACTTTGAAAGTCAGTTAACTCCCTTGCCTCGGGAAGATGATATGATGAGGACGTGGATGTTCCTGCAGGTGTGCCTCGCAACACGCTTGCGAGATGAAGTGGTGGATCAGCTCCTCAGATGTTGCAGAGTGCATTAACTTCAGCCCTGGGCGGCGTTACGACTTCGCCTTCATCTGTAACTACTGCTGCACGACAGATCTGTGCAACAAGGACCTCTACCCAGCCAAACACACGCTCTATGTTGGCAAAGATTAGAACGGCGTGGGCTTATATGTTGTATGTAGAAGTATATGGTTCTTTGTTGGAATAAATGGAAGCATTTGTGAAACCAGTAACTGACTCATGTAACATTGATTGTATGTTTTGTTTAATGTCACAGGCATGTATTGTGAAAAGTATGGGCCAGACAATCCAATATTTGTATCTTAAACAAACTTAAATAATGCTGGAATGAGGGCGTACCCAAGGTAATGTCCATTAAATTAACCATCTGTGTTGCAAAACGACCACATTTCTTCTACGTATATGCATTACTCGTAACCCAACAGACGTAATTCAAAATAATTACCATATAGTTTTAGGATTTATTCCACGTTTTGTACGACCAAGTGATCGAGATGAAATCAAGCTGCTGGCTTAAGAAAAACTTAAAGACAATAAACAAGTGTGGATAACAGACGACGTTAGTGCCCAGACCTGTGCCAAACAGAAGAAATTAGCTCCATTTTTGGAATCAGCGAGAGATGAAGGGGAATAAGTATACACATATTTGTATTTTGCTAAACTTGTTATAGAAGATAAGCTTTTTTCGTATAACGAGAAATCAAACTATAACTGCTGTGACCAAGACCCGCCGACATTAACCAAGATTGGATGTCGGCCCCGACCTGAATACATCGAACAATGAAATCATCAACCCCAACACTACAAATATACACGCCAAAAACAAATATCAACGCTCACCTACGCCATTGACAGTTTTAGAGTGGAATGTGACCGGCTTATACTCTAAACTTGGGTTCACAGACTTTAAGCATTCTGTAACTAAGTATGATATGCTTTGTTTGATTGAAACAGGGGCTAAACCAACAAGGCGTTTAGCGAGTTTGACTGTTTTCAGAATATTCATAACAAGACTTTGAAACTTGGGCGATACAGCGGGGGAATTGCGTTATATGTGGACGAAACAGTTCACCCATGTTGACAAGTTTATACAGAATGGACTTATTGTCAGTTTGATACAAAAAAATACATTTTCTGGGGGAAATGACTATTGTTTGTGTTTGCAAATGTCACAACAGAATCAAACAGTATTAAAGATGTCATATAAAATTTAGAAGATAAGTTAAGTGAGTTAAAAGAAACATATACCCGTAGTGAAATAATGCTATCTGGAGAGTTAACGCCAGAACTAGAAAAGGATTGGACTTAAAAGAAAAAGACAATATTGATCATCTTCCTATCGATGAGAGGGTGGAGTCTACTATCGCCTACAGTGTACTTTGCCTACAGAAATTGTAGCATGGTGTGGTAGTTTGCCTACAATAATAATAATACATCCCTAACTGACAAATGCATTAGTCCACTCACTTTCTCGCTACAGGTTAAACATTTCAAACAAAGATACCGTAACAACATAACAAGATATAACAAGATAAAACTTGTAACTCACTGATCTTGTTATGTTGTCACAATGTATTTACCTGAGTATCTCTCATGGGAAGAGAGAAGCCAGGATATAATTAACAACAAAGTATAATATCAGTAACAACATTTCATTAAGTATGAAGGCTCAGCCACACAAGATGATACTGGTTAGTCCATACATGCAGCTACAGTGAGTAATAGGGATTAAGGACTGAAACTGGAGTTTAGCTATAAAATATGCAGGAAAAATCTAGGTTTCATCAGATGCCATGGCAAATCCACAGCGTGTAGAGTATGTCTTGTCCGAGAGAGGTGTAGGCAGGTGCTCCTTGATGGGTACAGATACAGATTGAACAATCGCCGTCAGACCTGTGTACACTGGAAGTGTGTCGATACCGGGTGCCTTGGCAAATGTACAACTGTTGGTGATCCGAAAACAGTACGCCCCACAACCATCCTCCCGAAGATGAGGCCAACACCAGATTCCGAGGACGAGTCCAGAAGAGACAACGCCTGTTCAGGCCATCTACAATGAGGAGATGCAAACCCCGAACAGAGAGGAGTGAGTGAGTATGGTTTTACGCCGCTTTTAGCAATATTCCAGCAATATCACGGCGGGGGACACCAGAAATGGGCTTCACACATTGTACCCATGTCGGGGATCGAACCTGGGTCTTCGGCGTGACGAGCGAACGCTTTAACCACTAGGCTACCCGACCGCCCCCGAATAGAGAGGAAGCTGCTACCTTTCAGTCCTACAGCACGTTGAAGAGTGGATTGTACCGTCGACTAAGAAAGACAACACCTGCCCTACCAAGGTCCTTGACTCAGGTTGACCTGCCCGACACACGGAGGACAACAACAGATGGACAAGATGACAGAATCCTCTGCTTTGCTTGACATCACTGTATATGGATGTTACGTTCTACTCGTGTCCAGCCCTCTGGAATCAGCTGAATGTAATCCATGGACTCAATGGCACCAAGATGCCCCAGTTAGTCTTCTGTCTTCTGCCTAACCGTCCACGTGACATCTATGTCCGCCTCTTTGACAGACTGAAGGTAGTTGTCCAAGAAGTCACCAACCACCCCCTTGCAGACAGACTTTGAAGCAGCAGCTATCCGAGCAGTGGATGATTCATTCCCGAACTCAGACACCCGCGGGTGTTTCATTCACTATACCCAGTCCATTTGGAAGAAGGTGAGGTGAGGGGAAATTGGGTTTAACGTCGCGTCCAAGATTATTGCACTTATATAGCGACGTGCATGTACGTGTGTGTGTTTGTACTAGTCCGGACTGATGCCGATTTATAGTGCTAGCTCACTGAGATACCATGCCGCAGTTTAACATGAATACCCCAATCAGACACAGTATACTGACTCCGAGCCGACCAGTCCTTGTTTTAGCCCCTTAATGCCGAGCGCCAGACAGGGTAACAACAAGTACCATCTTTTAACGTCTTTTGGTATGACGCGGCCGGGGATCGAACCCCGGACCTTCCGCTCTCCGGGCGGACGCTCTACCACTAGACCACGGAGGCGGTCCCATTTGAAAGAAGGTACACATATATTATTATATAATATTATTACACAGTACATATTTTATATATTTTATTATGAACATGAATATTGATTTGAATATGTTATGAATATTAATTGTAAATATGTTATTATTTTCACTTGAGCTTGAGATGATGAACCAATACCGAGACAACCCAGAAGTCATCCAGTGGGTACGCCGAGCCGCAGCATTGCCACTCCTACCTCTCCGACAAGTCCAAGATGCCTGGTTTAGATACTAGGACCACACTCCCACGTAATAAAATCCAGAATAGCATAATATAATACATCTACTAGAGTGTCGTATTGAGCAACCTGACCCAGATTTTCATAACCTGTACATAACTATAGAGATACCTGGTTACCCTTCCATAATCATCATGTACCAATTAGTTTTGTGAGCTAGATTTTACACCAAAAACTGTTTATAAGCATAAACATGTACCTTTTCAACAACATCTAAATGTTCTAGGCCCAACATATCTGATCTATACAACAGAATCGGGCTTCATTTTGCATGAAATATTTAAAAGTACTCATATGTAATATTGTCAAAAACCCTAATGTTCTAATTAAATTTGATTTGGCAATGCAAGATAACGTGTGTTATTTGACTATATTTATCTTCTTGTAAAATACACACCTACGTATTTAGAAAATGAAACAACTTCTTCCATTATAATGCCATTTTTTCTATGTTTTGTAAGTTACCACTGTTTTTAAATATCAGCCTACAGAGATGACGGTGGCAGCGTAAAGATGTTGTAGATTTTTCTCCCGAACGTAGAGAACAAAACTAGTGCCAGGTGCTGTGACAACCCAAAGTTGTTCCGATGAAGTCCTACGGCCTGCAGATCTCTGATGTTCTTGACATTGTCATTTCCCGTGTAATGTCTTTATATTGAATACGTGTCCACCTTTCCTGTGTCACTTTTGCAATATGTCATCACTCATCAAGCGTTTGGACGTGCAAAGAATGTGTTACTTAAAGTATGTTTATATGGATTTGGCATTTTACAATTAACTGAACTGTTAACTGATGTATGATTTTACATCACGATATGAAATGCTTCCAACACAACAGCACATTCTATAAGCCTAATTTGTAGGTTTCGGTGATAATAACACGTTTCTAAATAGTCGTCTTGCCAGTGAATAACAAATATACATTTTTCGGCAAGAATTGACTGATTCGTGATGGATTTACAACAACTGACCTTCCGTTAGATACAGGGTGCCTTCGTGCTTGCTAATTCAGTATATGGGCTTATGAGTGCGTTTATCTAGCTTACTTCCCGCTCTTATTATGAGAGATGTTAAGCATGATCCTACGTATCCACTCTCTTTTTTCACACAAATGGCGACTCAGCAATATCGCCATGTCACAATATTGTATTATCGCTCTGTCGCCGTATCGCGTTACTAAATCGCCATCTCGTATTGTGCTACTATCGCAGTGTCGTGTCGTGCTATCGTCTTGCCGTTGCTTGTTATCGCTATATCGTTTTTGGCTGTATCGCAATATCGCTATATCGTGTAGCGATGTAGCAATGTCGTGTCGTACTATTACTTTGTCGCGATATCGCGTGGATTTCTCAGGGCGATATGGCGATGGCCACCAGCCACCAGAGGATAGCACTGGTTTTCATGTACCCTTATTTCAGATAAAATACACTCTTCAAAACAAGAAACGCACAGGTAGTACGAAGTTAATTGTACCTGACAACACAAAAAAATCCGGTATGTAAATTGGATACATGTTATTGGAAAAGTTTGGTGGCCTGATATTCGAAAAACGGTGCGTCAAAACGCAGCCATTGTCGATTTTTCACAATGGAGGAAAATAGTAAAGCAAAATGCACGTACAAGTTGTGGCATTCGTAACCCGTGGTAGTGGCTATAAAAAGGCAAGCATAAGCCAATAATTTGTCATAATTTGAATTTCGAAAATGCCGCGACAGAGTGCTGCAGATCGTAACATCGCCATAGGACGTTTCCAAAGGGGGGGGGAATCCCAGTCTTCAGTTGCACGCCATTTCAACGCCCACCACAGCACCATTTGTCGCCTTTGGGACCGATACACACAGTTAAATCCCTCCGCAGACCGTCCGAGAACCGACCGACCA